CGGACTCACGGTAACCCTATAGGGCAGAGTGGGACTACTCCATAGGGTTTCCAAGGCTATAATCTTTACAGAAGCAAACTGCTACATCTTTCTCCCATGGAGCAGCTGTGGAGGTTTGAACTACCAATCTTTTGGCTATTGGTCCAGTGTTTTAACCAATGCACCACCAGGACTCCTCTAAGTAATCAAATACTCATAAATTCCACCTTAAGAAAGCTTTCTCAGTAACACCAGAAATGAGCCCTTGATGCTGGCTGACTCCACTCCGTCTAATTAGGCAAATACACATGGCTTCCTCCTTACCCTGTTATGAATACATGAACCTCTTACTTACTGTTTTCTTATCTTCTCATGTTTCTATATTCTGAAATAAAGCTTATCAAAAACAGAAAGAGTGTTAATTAACTTTATCTTTGATTTTCTCATCTTTGTGCTTCACTATATAATTTGGCTTGAGAGTCTTTTCTCATGCAATACATGCGCAGTGAAATCATTCCTGGTATTTCAGTAACTTCAACACCGAACACCACCCTTGCCATCAACTGGATTCCAACTTATAGAAATCCCGTATGATACAGAGTAGAACTGAGTTCCATAGGGTCTTCTTGTCTGTAATCTTCACAGAAGGAGATTACCAGGCCTTTCTTCCACGATGTCATAGAGTGAGTTTGAACCTCCAACCTTTAGGTGAGTAGATGAGTGCAAACCATTTGAGCCACCCAGGGATGTTAGTAATTTCAGCAGAGTCTAAGAAGTACCCACCCTTACTGAATCCTGTTCTAAAATACATACAAAAAGTTTCAAGTTATATATAGCAAATGTTTTGGATAATAAGAAATTACAGAAATACTATAAAGCTATATATAAAATAGAAATCATTATAACAAAGCTATACATTATAATACAACATAAGAACCGACAGTTTATAAAGTCTTGTTATTTACATTATCAATTTGATCCTCATAGCAGCCCCATAAGGTCAGCTAAGTAAATATTTCTATCAGCCTTTCTGAGTCTCATTGAGTCACAGTGCTCTTCGTAAAACAAGAAAATTCCCTAAATCAAGGTCAAATCCTCTGGGACAGCAACCACGATCCAGCCCCGAGTGCATCAGTCAAAACACACACTGGAGTCTATAATGGAAAAATATGGCAGACACCTAAACCTTCAAACTACCCTTATCTACTGTGAGATGCTGAGGCATTTCCTCTTAGCCTCTGTAAATTGGGGTTAATGCTACTTACTACAGATAGAAAGATTAACTAGTTAATCCTTATAAATCTCCTTGGAATTGAAAAGTGCTAAAGAAAAAAAAAAGAAAGCCAACAGTGCATAACTTAAATTAGTAACCAGAGATTTGGGGTTATCGCTCATAGGAAGATAATAGTTTCTGGTGATACAGGCGAAGTTAAGTGCAAAGTTTCGGCATGGACAACACAAAGCTGGAGTTCAAGGAAACCTTCAGTATTAACACAAGAGGGATAGAAAGTCAAAGAAATATATTATTCCTGAGATGCTGTCAATGAGGATCAGTGCTGGGAGCCTTTGCTCATCACTATTAATTAGTAAGAATCGAACACCTACTGGGCAGATAGCCTTGAAGTGCTCTTAGCTGCTCTTAGCTTAATAAAAGATGCTTTGAATTTTTTAGTGAATTAAATTTAAGTTCTTGACAAAGATAGAGCTTCCAAAGGTATGCCAAAACAGGATGGAAAATTAATGTTAGAGAAATAGTCATTCATCCTGGTTCTTCTTGTATTTTCAACTGTGCTTAACATTAGTGGAGGTGATTCAAATTCTCCTGAGAATCATATGTTCTGAAATCTCTGGTTGGAATTCAGTCAGACTGAGGTCAAGTTCAGCCCCAATTCATGTTGCCATGGTTGTTTCGACCTAGGAAAAGCAAGAGTGAAAATGGAGCACAGAAAAGAATGGAAGAAAGCAGGTCAGGGGAAACCTCAGGAAGACGCCACCAGCCCCTGCCAAAGGTTACTTCAGTGGCTCGATTTGTTTATTTATTTTAATTTTTATTGTGATTTGGGTGAAAGTTTGCAGAGCAAATTCACTTTCCATACAGCAGCTCACATATACGTTGTCTCATGACATTGACTACAATTTCCCACACAATGCAACAGCTCTCCTCCTCCCACTTCCTCCCCATAGTTACCTCTTTCCTGGGTCCTTGCCTCCCATGCACTCCTGCCCCCTGAGCTGTCTATCTGTACAAACACAGCCCTTCTACTCTCATGATTATTCTCTCCAAAGAGTCTATCTACCTAACGTAAATGTTCAGCTCATATGTCTGTCTTTTGTTTGGCTGGAAGCCACGGGAGTGGGTTCAATTCCAGACCTGAAGGGCAACTAGGGGCCAGAGTCTCAGTGGTTCCATCAGGCTCTATCAGACCAGCAAAGCTGGTCCTTTTTTTTTTTTCTTTTAAATGATTTTGAGTTTTGTTCTACATTGTTCTCCCACTCTATCCAAGATCTCTCACACAGCTCCCCCTCCAAGTGGTTGACAGCGGTAGCCAGGCACCATCAAGTTCTTCTGGTCTCATAGTTGTATAGGTTGAGGATCGCATGGTGTACCAGTCGCTTGGACTAACTGTTTCCATGTGTCTTTGGTTTTTTTCATTCAGTGCTTTATTTCTTAAGGAGGTGCCAAAATGTCAGAATTCACTAAAACAATGTTGTTGCTGTTACTATGTGCTGTCAACTTGATTCCCACTCCTAGTTACTCTACAGGGCAAAGTAGAACTGCTCCACAGGGTTTCCTAGACTGTAATCTTTCCAGAAACAGATCACCAGTTTCTCCCATGGAACCACTGGTGGGTTTCAAACCACCAACCTTTCTGTCAGCAGATCAGTGCATAACCAATGTGCCACGAGGGCTCCTAATTAGAATAATAGAAAGCTTAACATTAAATAAACTCAAATTTGAAAGCATGCTACTTAACATCTCCTAGCAATATTAATCCCTTAACAATTAAAATTAATTTCATCTTAATCTCCCTTAACAATGAAAATTAACTTGGTGAAGCCATGAGAAGAGAAAGAAAGATGGTCTAGCAGTCCTATTTCAGCTACGTACTGACCAACAACCTGAAATCCCTGAAGCCACCTATAGAACCTTATTTACAAAAAGAAGACGAGAAGAGGAGGAGGGGCAGACAAAGAGGAGGAGGAAAAGGAAAGGGAAGAAGGAAAGAGGGAAGGGAAGGAGGGAGAGGAAATTCTTTCAGAAATTTTTCAAATGCTCAACCCTGTGAATAGATGTGTTGGAACAAATCTGACAAAACCCCAACCAAAACTGCAAAGCTGCTCATTCCATTAAATAGAATACAGAAAATGCTTCTGGGAGCAAATTCTCCTAACAATACAAAATAAAACTTAACCTTCAGTGAGCAAGGAAATAGGGAAGGGAGCTTTACTGAGGAGAAAACATTTCACAAATCCAATGATTTGTTTCTTAAGACTGTGAACTAGATCACATGTTTCTGGAACATTTACCACATCCTGGCCCAGAGGTGGTTACAGTGATAAAGGACACAAATAAATAAGATCCAGGTTATGACCTAGAGGGGCTTGCAGTTTGGCGCTCAAGCAAATCTCGTACAAGTTAAGGTTAAAGCAAGGCTGCTCTGTGTCACTGGAGCATTGCCTCTATCAGGGAGATAAAGGGAGAAAAGCTAGGTCAGAGGAGTGGTCTGGGACTGCTGTTTTGCAAGTTGAATTTTATTCATCCTAGATAACAGGCCAGGAGGGGAAGCAGGGCCAGGGTCAGAAGCAGAAAGGGTCCAATACAAGGCAAAGAGGGAGAAACAAACCTGAAATCCTAAGTAAAGCTACACTAGTGGGAATGGAAAGGAGGGGATGAACTGTCATCCAGTTTGAGAAGATAGAGGCAGATTCATGGGGAAGGCGACAGAATGAAAGAAATCTCGTCTCTGAATTGGAGGAACGTGGAGCATAACGAATCCAGTCACCAAGACAGAAACAGTTTCAGAAGATGACGAGTTTGGGTTCTTGTCATATTCAGACTGAGATACTGCGAGAACAAAGTACAGACTGTCACCAACAAGGTGAAGCCCAGCGACCTGGCCATGCAAGACGTGTTTCCAGGAGCAAAAGTCAGGTAGACAGGCAAGGAAAGTAGGAAGAGAAGGAGGCACTTAGAGGGCCGGAGGGGGAGGAAGGCCAGTGAGAAAATCAAGGTGGGACCTTCAGAACCACAGGATGAAAACCAGCAGAGCTCAGTGCCACGGAACAAAGAGGAGAAGAGGTAGAGAGAGGTGCGATGAGCAGGGATCCAGCGCACAGAGAGGAGCAGGCAGGTGAAGGTTTAACGTGAGTCGCTGGTGCTGACCTCGAGGGCAGGGGCCGGGGTAACTTTAGGATTCCCCTGGAGCATCCCAGATGGAATGGAAGTTGTACGCTGCTGAGCAGTGACTGAGTTCTGAGGACTGGGCACCCCGTGTAGCATACTACTTGGCAGTAAATGAAAGAAGACTGAATAGCAATGTGAACAAAGAAATGATTTTTTTTTTTGGTTGGTTAGTATTTTTTTTAGTTGGTTGTTATTTTATACTTTTTCCCTAAATATAAATAAGATTAAAGAATACTCGAAGCTTAGAAAACAAGAAGCCAGAGAAAGGACAGAGATGTCTAAGAGATGGCCAAATCAATGAGGAGTAAGGGACAGAATAGCAAGGAATCTTGCACAGTGAAATTCTAGTCACTGAATCAGGCAGTGAACTGACATGGTCTATAGAGTGTGTGTGGTCTGAAGAGAGAAACACCATCGGCCTCTTGAAGACACTGGGTTTTTCATTTGGTAAGAACTATAGGAAGGGGGAAGGTCTTGCATTCTGATCTGAGGTAGCAGCGGGATCCTTGGTACAGATGCAACTCGTATTTTACACTGGAGGAATCCAGGACAGACAGACCGCAAGGAGTGAAGATGGAGACGGTGACTAAGTCTAATAGGCCAGAGCGACACTTACATTTCCAAAGTATTTGTCCAGCAACTCCACATATCGGTGCACAATCTCTAGGGTCAAGAGCTCATTGTCCTGATTTTCTACAGCACAGCAAAAATATAAACTAGCATACCTTGAAGAGAAAACAACGGGACATAAAATAGCTTGACACATTAAACAACCTGAAGACAGTTTTTTTCCCAATGAACATGCAAAATATCTCCAGAGATGCGCCCTCTCCAAGAACAATTTTATTTACTCGTTGCATCAAATATCCTCCCAATGTGTAGGAAATTTTGTCAAAAGTATAGTGACTGGACTATTTCTGTTAATTATGTGGAAGGCTCTCAACAAAACTTTCCCTTGAAGAGACATAAGCAGTGGGGCACAGTCCTTTGTCCCATGGAATTTGGGGGTATCTGTTCAAGGCCCCCCCTGCTTGTGAAATGTTCATTCAAAAGTCCAAACTGCTGGCTACGGCTCTCAGGGCTCCCACCCTTCTCATTCTGTACACTGTGGTCCCATCATGCTGTACCTCTCCCCCACCATCAGCCGGTCAAGTCTCCCTTCCTCTGCTTCCAGTTGTGTGTCTTTTCCCCCTAAAATGCACTTCTCTGCCCTCATTCATCTGGTTAACTCCGATTTCACCCTTAGGTCTCAGCTTGGATGCCATTTCCTCCGGAAGTCTCTAGCCTCTCAGACTGGATATACCTGCTCTACACTCTCATGCCTTGCCCATCAGAACATCTAGTTTCTTCCTTGTCAGTTTCTGGGCCTGTCTCCCATCTAGGTAACTGGTTTCATGAAGACAGGGTCCCGATTGAGTCCACCTTGTTCACTGCTGAGATCCCCAGTGCCTGTAAATATCTGCTGCAAGAATTGCCAGTCTATTCTCTAAGCAACTGTTTAAATTACAATGAATCTGAAGTTGTAAGTTGTAAGCTCTACCAGCAGGCAGAGAGGTGGGACAAGTCTGTGGGCAAGTACTTCCTGGGACCCTGTCTTGCCACCACCCTGGGAGGCTAATTATTAACAGCCTTTGCTGAGTTCCTGCAGGATGCTTATGCTAAAAACTCTGACCCTGGACCAGCAGAAGGAGCCTTGCCCAGGTACTTCCTGGTAATGTACTCCATTCAGTATCAGTCTGTGGAGGTCACCTCCGTTTTTCCCCATCGGGTGTTATAAATGCCTCTTGTAGGGGCATTTCTAAGGTGTATTTTCCTTTTGGAAGTTGCAGTACAGTGCTAGGTACAGGGCTGGGTCAGTGGCGTCCTGTTTCCGGCTTAACCAAGCCGGTTGCTGTGGAGCCAGTTCAGCTCCGGCTCCGGCTGATCCCGTGAGAGTCAGCGGAGGGCTGTGCTCCACAGGGTTTTCAGGGATCGGTTTTTCAGAAGCAGATCTCCAGCCCTTTCTTCCAAAGTGCCTCTGGGTGAACTCAAACCCCCAACATTTCAGTTAGCAGCTGAGTGTGTTAACCATTTACACCACCCAGGGACTCCTGGTTCTGGCTTAAGCATCCCTTATCTGAGCCCTCATGGACAAAATGCCTTTCCCTCTCAGGGCCTCAGTTTCCTTATCTCTAAGTTGAAGTTCCTATCTCCATGGAGGAGACACAGTAAAAGCCAATCAGGCTTTGAAGTCAGAAAGATCGGCTTTGCCAATTATCATTCATCTACTAGGACTGGGGACTAATTACTTTCACCCTCTGGTCTCAATTTACTCATCTGCAAATATGAACAATATCTACAGTAAGACTTGCCCAATAAACACAGCCTTTATCTCTCCTTGATAGGAGCCTCCATTTTCCCCCCAAGCATTTGTTACTAAGCTAAAAGAATTTGTTTATTTAACAAGGAAGTAAGCTCAGGAGAGCAGGAATGGCACACCTTGTTAACTGCTGTGGCCCCAACCATGTTACTGCACCAGGAATGTAACAGGTGCTCAAAAAAGAACGGTCACATGCATGCGTGCACTATCACTGGAGATTAAGTACCTAGACTCCATCCTGGCACTTGGAAGGCCTTTAAGTGATAGAGTTCTTTTCTGATTAGTCTCTATTAAATATTTCAGCCCCAGCCTTCCAAAAATTCAGAAAATGAAGGGATTCATGTTGCAATCTCAAATGTTCAGGATTAGAAGAAACCAAAGTCATTCAGTTCTCATAAAGTTACTCACACCTTTTATAAACAAGTTTTAGCTCCTTCCAGTCAATAAAACTGCTTGTCCTCTGACCACGAGAGAGAATAATCTGAACAATTTCCCGGGTGATCTTTTTCCTCTCTTTGTCCGGGAGAGTGGTGTACCATTTCTGCAGCCGTAATTTCCCTTGTCGACTGAAGAGTAGTATGAAATGTATCTAGAGCAAATAGAGCATGGGGCAAAACCAGAGCCTGGTCAACCAAGTCGTTCTCAGTCCCCATTGCCCTTCAGTGGCATGGTTTACAAAGGTACAGAATCCTGAGCAGATTACAAAATACTTACCAGCATGAAAACCAGCTCATTTAACAAGTTGTCATAATCAGCCACTCAGAGAACCAGGAACACGTACATCACAAATACAGCATATTTACATTATGGGAAGATATGTCAGGTGAGTTGTTTTTTTCTTTTTTTTTTTTTTTTTTTTATTCCTTTGAAGAGTCACAGACCCATTAGAGGGAAAACTATATATCAAGGAAGTATATAACATTTTTGAGAAAACATAAAACTTATTTTTCACAGCCCAAAACCATTAAAAGCAGTGTAAATGGGGGAGGGCAGGAACCCACTGCCATTAAGTTGATTCCAACTCATAGTGACCCCACAGAACCACCCCACAGGGTTTCCAAGACTATAAATCTTTATGAAAGCAGACTGCCTCATCTTTCTCCTACAGAGCAACTGGTGGGTTTGAACCACTGACTGACCTTTTGGTTATACCAAAACCAGACTCACTGCCATCAAGTTGATTCCAACTCACAGCAACCCCCTTTGGGCTTCCGAGGCGGTAAATCTTTATGGAAGTAGATTGCCCAGGCTTCCTTCCACGGAGTGGCTGGTGGGTTTGAACCGCCCACTTTCTGGTTAGCACTCAAATGCCTTAGGCCCTACGTTTGGTTACAGGTGTACTTAAATTTAAATTACATACATATTTCACATCACAATCACAGACACATAATGCTAATATCAAAATAAAGAAGCAAAATAAGGAAAAGATGAAGCAAGGGCAAAGAGTGAAAATGCAGTGTGTCAAACTTAAGCTCTTAACACATCCAGGGGGACACTTGGCTCCAAGCTTTAGAATCAAGCATCTCCAGTTACAGCTGTTTTTGGCATCAGAATGGATTTTTAAACTATTGAAATGGTGTATGTTTTCAACACTAGACAACATCCTGACTTTATTTTCAATTAAGTCTCAAAATACATATTTGAAGTAAAAGCTCGTATTTAAATAAAAATTTATAAGCTTTAAATAAATAGGAGACATTGTGACATTTATAAATTGACTTTGGTTCCTCAGACGTAGGGTGATTTTGATTTTCAGAATTGTCAGATTTGTTTTATGAGAGATTAAGTGTTCTCAATCCACAGTATTCGATCAGGTTTAGAATAAGAATTTATTTTGTTGTTTGGGGGAGGCTTTCTTTTTTAACAAATAAAATTCATTGTTAGGTTAACTGTATCATAGAGGAAACAACATACACTGGGAACTAAAACTAATTATTAAAAAAAAAATCAACGAAAAAGAGACTGTGTAGATATAAACTATTTAACTCATTAGAAGAGGTTGGGTTTGAAAAACCATGGAATAAACCACAACAACTTACTAGGTGGTGATGTTGTTCTTGTTGTTATGTGCCGTCAAGTCATCTCCAACTCATAGTGACCCCTCCTTGGGTTTCCGAGGCAGTATCTCTATGGAAGTAAATTGCCCAACCTTCCTTCTGAGGAGTGGCTGGTGGGTTTGAACCACCAACCT